CTTGATGCAGATACCAATTCATCTTCGAGACAAGCACGGAAAGTCCAATGTCTTCTCATTGTCGCGACCCAAACTAGAGGCACAAAACATGTTTCATTTCATTCAATGACATGACGTCCCCATGCAACCCCATCGGGACCATCCCGCAAGAGCACCTCGTGTGGTTTGCCTTCAATAAAGCTAAGACCAAAGATCATTAGACAAAGACCAGACCGGAAGAAGAGGATTGCGATCGCGGCGACTGGGGTTCCCATCAAGTCAAGAGCGGAGGCTCAGCGACTCGATTGGAATCTCTTTTTGGAAGCGACTGTCATTTAAATTCTGCGCAAAGCATTCCCATCACAAGCAGGGTATGTCCCATCTCGTCTCAAACCGGTTCGAGCAACAGCGACACCCGAACGCCTGAGAAACTCCCGTCGTTCAATTAACTCAATCCGCCCAACCTTTATGCCACAATGGACGCAGCCTCCATGTCTTGAACCCTGGACCCTATTTAAACCTCAGCTGAGGGTGGAAAAGAAAACAACAACATGAGCACGGACAAAGACTGAGAGACATATGATCGCATGGCCTCATTCTGCCACTCTGTGCTGCCGCCTGCGTCCCTTATCGAATAGCTATGCCATGATGGAAGTACCAGTAGCAGTCGCAGTAGTGAAATAGTCAGTGCATGTCCGTACATGTACCTTTACATGTGACCGCTGCAGCCCTCAACGCCCGTCCATTGTCCTGGGCAGCAGCTACCACTTCATCTCATCACGCTTGGCCGCTAACCAGCGCCGAGAGAATAAGGCCGTTGCCTCTCTTTCTCTCCTCTTTCGATTTCTTTCAGCATCTTAGCTGACGGTTTTTACAGGGACCAGCCGAGCGATTGTTGTGCCCGCCCGTCGACTCGGTCGTGGCTTGCGATGCAATGCATTTCATTGTCCCTTGCCCCGTTTGGGAAGATGCTAGTCCGCGACTCGAGGTTAGTGGCGCAGGAACGTTCTCATGTATCTGTCCTAGGTAAGAGACGCATACCGGTACAGGATTGCGGAAGTATCTCTCCTCTGCTTTCTCAAACTATCAAACAGGTGGATCCATTCAATTATCAAAAAAAGCTTGTGGTTGGTCGCGGCCGTGCCATTCTATAGTCCGGGCGTCGACTTGCGTCTGCACTAGACTCGAAAAAGTCTGGTTCTCAGCTTCTTGTGCGTGTCTTTGTGTACGTACCGCATCTGAAGTCCCCGGGGCCCCTCCTTCCCGCGACCAACTCATCGTCTTTCCTCTCGGGCATTGTGGCCTCGACCATGTCCCTCCTGCCTTCGACCGCAGGTTGGTTCCTGCATTTCATGCCGTCCGCGAACTGCAGGCGCCTGCCCTGGCCGCACCCGCGCCTCACTTTGTCATCAGATGAACACCACGCAACGCACCTCTCAAGTTTCCTCGCCTTATGTACTTAATCAACTGCCTCATGCATCGTGAATGGGATTTCCCTCTTGCATCAGAAGCTCCAACTTCAGCCTCTTCTCCTTGTCAGACTTGACATCCATGGCGGCGTTGCCCCGTCTGGCTCATGCCCCCACGCCTTGGCCCCCAAGTGTCATCTCGCACGCGCCAGCGCAAAGTGTTTGCGTCTCCATTGACCACTCATTTTGAGACACCGACATCTTCGAGAGTTCCATCCACAAATCCTACCCAACGACTGACCATGGTGTCACGCTCGGGCCCTCTGAGATACACCATTTGCGTCTGATTCTGTGCTAAGGAGTAGAAGCATGCAAGCACTTTGTGCGTTGTCAAGAGTTGTTGCTTTTACCATCAGGAGGAAGCATCTTACCCGTTCCATTCTTCAGCAGTACTGATGCCCAAACAGGTGCCATCTTTCTTTCTCTCTCTCCGGGCCCCATGCTCCTCGGCGGTGCCAAATTCGCTCCAAATCTACAGCAACTCTTTACTCACGAACATGCCCTGGGAGTCCACGTGCAACGTAGCAATCGATGCTAGAATTCACTTCGACACCCGCGCAAGATCCAGAGTCGTTCAAAGCGCAGACATCCTAGGGACTTACAACACCGTCGCGCTATTGATGACACGGACGAAAGCCACGACGTCTGCCGCCGATAGCCCCGGATGTGGCTGAAAAGCTGGAGCGTTCAGGCCTTCCGCCCGGAGCGCCGAAATGAGACAGATTCCGGACCCACCCTACCATCACCGATCGGGATCAAGACTAGAGCCTCTACTGCCTTCTGGACCAGGCTATCCAACATCTCTGGCGGCTCTCGGACACTTCCCGCCCAACTAAGATGTACATCCATCGCATATACCGAGGCTACACCAATAGTCATCATCGTTCTCGGAGTAGACCGTTTTCCATCAACATGAGAGCAAGGGAACGGCATTTCCGATCGCCCAGCAAAGCCAAGTGCGGTTTGATATCAGTCGATGCCTCTCAAGCCACTCTCGGCTCGAGCCGAACACGTGGCGCTGATGATACCGGACTTTTGTGTCTAGACGAGATATCCCCGTGGCAGTCTTCTTCAACGGATCGACGCGGGGATTTTACACTATCGATTACTCCATCAGTTCTAACTCGCCTAGGGACCGCACGACAACGCTGCCTGCTAATATACGAGTGATCAGAGTTCTCATGGAGTTTCCTAGGAGTGCCACATCGAGCCACATAGTGGCGGGGCCACGGGCTCAGGTGATCATTAGTTCGCTCGGCTCTCATCCTCGATATCATCGAAGCCCGGGGATGCATTTCCTTACACTATGCGAAGTTATTGACTACCTCACCTGACTGCGAGAGCGAAGAGTTGGCGAGCGGAACTCATGTTCGCACTTAACACTCTAGTCACTAGATGATCCAATCAAAGACCATTTTAAGTATCTACCTGCGTATCGATTTCGAACCGTCTCACAGCCTGTGTCGGCCATCTTAGGCTCAGATATGTATCTGTTCGCCACTTGACAAAAGCAGAGCCTTCCGGTCGGGCATTCCAAGCAAGAGAACGTTCAGACAATCTGCGCCGCTGTATGATGGATCACTTCCACCCCAATATCGACAATTCCTGGACAGTATGAGATGGCATCGATCATCTTCTCCGGAGTCCAGTCGATGGTCTCGTGATGGTCTCGTGATGGTCTCGTGATGGCCTCATTACCATGTATACCTGATATCAGATTTTCAGCCTTGTGGTGGTTCTTTCCGGCTTTTCGGGTACAACAGATCGATCTTGACGGGGTCTGGCTTCAAGCAGATCACACGGCAACGCGATACTCGGGCTATGCACCAAGCTCGCGCTCATTTCAGTATGGTGATTTTGAGCCAAACAACACGATCCAATACGAGATTGTAAGCAAATTGCCTATCGAGATGGCGGCACCGGCCGACAAGGACAACCGCAGAGGTTCTGAATTCTGAGACTTGCAGTTACAAGATCTGCTCTGATGGGGATCATTGAAGTGCGAATTCCCGAACGTTTTTACTCTTCCTTCAAGTTAATGAGATCTGCATAGACTCGGTCACGGCCTACGCGTTTACCCTCATGAGGTTGCGACGATGTTGAAGACATTTCAGCCAGCCAAAGGCTACTCCCGGTGATCCCAAAAGCTCTTCCACTGTCGTTTGAGATTCGTTGATCCCTGCTCAGTGACAATCATATTACTGGACGGTCGTCTTTGGCACTAAACATGGTAGTCACCAAACATGGACTACGCAGTCGTGGTGCCCGGAATGAAAGTTCATTGTTTCAGCCGACGAGCTGACAATGAAGACTCCCTTCACCAAGGATAAATAGACCATCGTGGGGGACAGACGCTCTGTCGTTGGTCGATTCTTCCCCCGCGGTCTGACGAGGCCGCAACGGTTGCCTCACTGAATACCTGCGACGTGAGGGACTGCTGGACCAACCAGGCGGAAGCCTCAAGGTTACTCCAACAGAATGCCCAAGATAGACATAAAGAAGAGACGGCCTGATTATCAACGAATGTCCGCAATATATCTATACTTGCGCCATTCGTCACCTTCTCTGACGGCAATGAAAAACTACTTCATCAGCATGTGCTGGGTCGTCAGACTCTCCGTTGCCATCGATCTCACACCTGCCAGGGGATGTTCAACCTGCTCCGCCGTGACCACGTCACATGTCAGATGCTGAAGGTCTGGACAGTTCGCACTTCCGTCGCCAGCAGTGCTGTTCGTTGGTGTCATGCGGCGCCGAAGCACTTACAGAGTGTTCCGTCCCAATTGCTTCATCACAAATCCAGCAGTGAAGCGCCACAGAAGTGGTTCGGATGGTGCTGTGCTGCTCTGCACAAGTGGCACATGTCCTGAGTCCTCGGCCGGACGGAGTCGGCATGGAAATTTTTTTACGCATGTCGGCGCCGAGGAACGGAGGTTTTAGTTACCGATGCCGGGTCAATGGTTCGAGGGCTCAATAGTCCGGAGGGGGCGGAACGGAGCGGGCAAGCTCTCCGACCTGCCAGGATTCCTGAACAGGTATAGCTGGATGGCAAGTGCCCGCAAGAGCCGGCCGGGATTGGGCATTTCGCCGACGGTCCAACAGTCGAAATTTCAAACACCATGCTGGCTTACTGGTGGTTCGGTACCCGCCCAGCAGACGTCGCGAACTATGGCCTTCGGTAGCATCCGGTGACGATCTGCAGGGCTGAACGAGTATCCGTATGGGATAGAAGGAATACGCGGGATGGCCGGGTTCGTCGCATAAACGCGGAAATGACAAACCAGCGTGAACGTGCCCAATCCGGACTAGGTGAAGTCGCCGAACGACGTTGGCTGATATTTTGCACCGAGACTTGGGGTAGGTTGAATATCGTTTTGCTCGGTGAGGTTGATAAACACCATCATTGGCGTCAACTGCTCAGATGTCACGAAAAGCCCCGGCTAGAGATATCTGCCTTAGTGCAAAGAAGCTTTGCTAGGCGACCAAGGTCAGCGAGGCAGTACGACCTTATCAACCATCACAAAGCTTTTTTCCCTTCCCTTGTCAGTCTCGCTAGGAAATCGCCGAGCAAAGGATGGCCCGACTACGGGGTCGGCGATGGCGGATTTTGATGATGTATGCCAAGACAAAATGTCGAGCTCGCATTGAAGGGCGGGTGCGCCGGCCCCTCCCATCATCAATGAAGCCACCCTCCCGCAGAAGCATGCCACCGACCATTGAAATTAAAGTCAGGTTGTCGAGAATTTTCATCAGTGATCTAAAGCAGACTGAGCATGGCGGCGGCCTCTCCTTGGACGCCGACACCCCGTTGGAAGCGTGGGAAGCCCAGGGGAGGACGATTGGGATTCGGCCAACAGGCCTGTTACCACCTGTGTCACCCATCCACCGCTTTTGTGTCCATCTGTGATCTGCCAGCCAGTCTCTCCAGCGTTGGTCGACAGTGCTGGCGACTTAGTGACATGCAAGACGTTCCTTATCTAAGGTGCGGAGACGTACGAAAAGGCATACGCAACCTGCAAATTCAGCCATGGTGGAGGTCGCGTGTTTGTCAAACGAGTCCGGTAATGAACGTCTCCCAAGAATACATTGGAAATGGAAACCCCAACACGCAAGCCGCTGGGGGGGGGGGGGACGGTCATCCTCCATGGGAGCGGAGCGGAATTCTAGCGGCGGCACGCAGCAGAAGAGCCAATTTCATGACAAGGGAGATCTCTACGGCGTATGGATACACAGTACCGGTAATCGACAAAATTTGCGACCTCTGTGCTGGGTTTTTTGTCTTTCTCTTCCCGCCGTTGGACACGAGGGAGGAAAATGCCTGCAAGCGGTGGGCTGTGAACGGACCCGTCTCCACGAACTCAAGAAGGACAAGACGGCTCTGTCGGATGTCGCGGATGCAGACCACTCCACCATGTTGCCCGATCCCCTGTCTGATTGGCCGGCTGTCAGCTTACGGTGTCGTGTGCCTCGTCGCATGCCCTCCGTCATCTTCGATCCCTCCCCGACGCCCACCTTCCCCCTTAGCGGACGCGCGCCTGATTGATAACAGAGCCGCGTTTCCTAAGCGGACGTCGGAGCACATGTTCCCCCTGAAGGGAGTACAAAGTACGCAGTCGAGGCAAAGCCGCAAAAGCATGAAACCACAGCGAACCTCCAGAGAAGCTAGAGAGCACGGAGGGGGAACACAAGGGAGAGTAGTAGGGAACGGACCTGGGCTTCGAAGCATGACGGAACGGTTGAAGCGCAGGAAGAAAGAGACTTTGTTTCGCGGTTGGACGTGCTTGACAGAACAAACTACCTACGTCAGGTAGCCAAGCTCGGAACATGCAGAGCTAAGAGCATAACCGCACCGCAACGGCGAGCTGCCCACGACTTGAAGGGAGCACGCGACATTTCGTCTGTTGTCTTCTCTCTCTCACTCTGCTGCTCCCTCCCGAGTCCACAGCCCTCGCTATTGTCTCATCCCAAGCCGTTGGCGACCGACAACACACCCAGGCTAGAGTCTGAAAGGACATTCTCTGGGTGCAAATTGAATTCCCGGGTGCGCCCACACACCAACCAAGCCAAGCAGAAGCTCTCATCTCACACAGGGCGAAAGAAAGACGCAGCACACAAAAAGGAAGATGTAACCCTTGGCGCTCGCGGCACTTGGCGGGCGATTCGTCCACGTCAGGGATCCCAGCCCGTCCGCCCCAACAGCCCACAATCCGCTATTGGCTACAGATCGGAATTCCGTGTCATGGACAGGGTTGGTCACGGGCAGCAGAGCCTTTCCCACCATCCACAATCCACTTTGGGGCCATTGCGAGAGGGACCAGGGCGGGTTCGAATTCGACATGCGGTGCGCGGCTTGAGCTTGAGTTCCTCACTTTCCTCCCCAGCACCTCGGAGCCATGCGGAGCCCGCTGATGTGGACTGTGGCGGGTGGTGGGAGTGCGAACTTTGCGAGCAAGGACGAGGAGGGCGAAGACAGCCTAGGAGGATGCGCAAAGCATGGCATGGGCTGCTGGATTCGCTACCTTACCTTTACGCAAAGTGCAAAGGCCACCAACCCGGTAACTCTGTATACGGTCGGTCAAGGTCCAGCTTGGTGGGTTGTGCCGAGCCTGGGCTTTCTGCTCAAAGTGTGCCGAAAGTCCATGTTCTATCTATTACGGTATTATTAACAGATCCATCTGATCCATGCTGCGTGATGAACGTCGCTACCTCGAGCTCCCCCGTTTGTTGTTGATTACCTTTCGACCTTCCCGCTCGACAGGTCTACCTTCTTCTTAATCTTGACTACTCCTCCTTTGCTCACTTGTCCGTACTCCGTACACTACTCAATTTAGATCTTCATCAGGAAATCCCCGGTAGTTCAGGAGACATTCAAACTTGGCCCCCTTTGACACGGACAATCTTAAACTCACATCCCCGACCTTCCGGTCGCCTCTCTCATTGGGCCTTGGCCCAGCACACACCGGTGGACTGAGTCTGTCAGATCCATCCCACCCGCACGCATCCAGCCTTCGGGACCTGTGGCCCTTGCCGAACCTCCCGCGCCCTCAAATACCACACGGCAGCAGTCACAACTGGAGTAGCCAAGTTTCTCCAGTCTCCTCAAACCTCTTTCACTAATCGCCGTCTCCATCGTCGGCTGTTTATTCCGTCATCAGTCACTCAGTCACTCAGTCACACGAGGCAAGAAAGAAAAGATACAAGAAGGAAACATGGGTATCGGTGCCGTGGCAGAGCCCTTGGTGGTCATCACCCTTTTATTTGGAGGAACGTGGTTCAACCGCAACATTGGCGACACCAACGCCTACGATAACCTGGGATGGAAGGGAGCCGGTCTCGATGATGCCGAGCACAAGCGATCTGACGAGCGCCGTTCCGGCAACTCGACCCCAGACTCTGAAGAGTCCCTTCTCTCCCTCGGCGCCTGGAGCTCATCATCAACGTTGACACCGCAAGAAGAGCCGCCGCGACGCTCTCGCAGGATCAAGTTCTTTGGATACCAGCGCATCGTCACGACACCAAACACCAGAGTATACAAGGACAGACTTCTCAGCCGCGTCCTCCGCAAGTTCCCCTTCTTGGTCGAGGCATGGTACTGGGCCCTGATTTACTGGGTAAGCAGGAAACTCCTGATGCCGCCCTTCCAGCAATTATGTTTGGACCGTTCTAACACCATCAAAATATAGGTCTACCAAGTCGGCCGCGCCTTCACCGCGCTCACCCTCAACGAGGGAACCGTCGACGTGGCGCGCAAGCACGCACTCCAGCTCATCCACCTCGAGCAGCGCCTCCACGTCTTCATTGAGGTGCCCGTCCAGCAGTACTTTTTGCAGATGCCCACCGTGATGCACTGGATCAACCGCATCTACTCCTTTATCCACATCCCGGGCACAATCCTCTTCCTCGTCATCCTCTACTTCATCACCACCACCCGCAAGCGCCGCGCCGTCTCCGCCAAGCTCGGCGGCAACGAGAACATTCGCTGGAACTCGGCCGGTCCCGCCCTGTACGAGGCCCGCCGACGCACCATGGCCACCTGCAACCTGCTTGCCTTTGTCGTCTTCACCCTCTGGCCCTGTATGCCCCCTCGTCTCTTGAGCGATCCCAACTACAACGGTCCCGATGCCGGTGAGGCCAAGAGCTTTGGCTTCGTGGATACCGTGCACAGCTCTACCGGCGAGAGCAGCGTCTGGACGACGAACAAGTTTTGCAACCAGTATGGTGAGTTTTGGACCCCCAAATCACGATTGCAGCCCCAATATTGAAATCCTTACTGACAAACGCAACAACAGCCGCCATGCCCTCCCTGCACTTCGGCTACTCCCTCCTCATCGGCCTCACCGTCGCGACCCTCCCCCTCCCCTCGATCCGCTCGCGGCCCTGGAAGCGCTTCGCCATCGTCGCCGTCGGCATGGCCTACCCGGCCCTGATCCTCACCGCCATCGTCGCGACCGCCAACCACTTTGTCCTCGACGCCGTTGCCGGCGCCATCGTCTGCGGTCTCGCCTGGAACTGCAACGGCGTGCTGCTTAACCTGCTCGTTGTCGAGGATTACTTCCTTCGTCTCTTGCGCATCCACAAGCCTGTCAACTGGACCGATCCCGAGGCGACGATTGATACCAATGAGTGGAAGCCCAGCACGGTTCTTGATGAGATCTAAAAGCTACGAAATTTTAATGCTTCTCTCTTTTGGTTGCAAACGGCGCATTATGCTTTTGATGGGGGAGGGATGGATCAGAAAATCTTTTGTAATGGCTTATGGCTTGGATCGTATTCTTCATGCGTTACCCTTTGCATTGAGAGACAACAGGTCAAGAAAGAGAGGTTTTTGCGGGCATGTATGTGTGTGGATAGTACAAGTTCTCGCATGATGTGGCGAGCATTTTGGGTTCAAGTGGCGGAGTTCCGTGGGCTCTTTTTACTGTCTTTTTTTAACGCAACAACGCGAAACCATCCCTATTCAGACAAGGTGGATGACTTGCCATAAATTTAAGTAACGGTCTTGATACGAACACAAGAGCAAAAATATAAGCTCATATAATGGAATTACCTTATGAAAAATCCCACTTCTCTCCCTTCATGTTGTAGATTCGGCAGCAAACATTTTCTCATGAAGACATTCTGGCGGCTGTCTGCTCCGAGGAAAAGTTTACTCTTACATTAGATTGCCGAGGTCTTTGCCCTGCCGAGCCGGCAATGGAATGCATTCAAGACATTTTCCTTTGCGTTGCTCGGTCTTTTTTTGGTCTTGAGTGTTTGTTCGCTTTGACAGGTTGGTTCGCACGGATATGACAACCGAGCGAACGTTTACGCAGCAAAGACGCCTTTGTTTCCGGGGGCGGCAAGAACCTTATTTCGGGGCGTGTGTCGATGTCATGCCGGTTGGGATTTAAACATGTGGCTGGGTTTGAAGTTTCAGCAATCCGTGTGGGTGGTGGTAGTGGTGTTTTGTCCCGTTCAGACTTGAGACGACGTTCTCCAAGAAAGCTGGTGTGAGAGGCGATTCCCAGCCTGGGAAAGCGAGGTTAAGAGAGGGAATATTGGTTTGATGTAGGAATAAGCAGGTAGTACCAACAAAGTAACCGAAAAAGCCTAAATCCTACAAAGCTCGGACTGCCATGTAGTGTGTTGATCAGCTTCAAGGGGAGGAGAGGAGTCCCAGAGGTCTGGGTGTTGAAATAAGATTCTGGGGGGCATGCAAGGTCAGCATTTTGCAGTTCCCGTGTCCCAGCTGTCCCAGGATTAAGGAAGCGACCTTGACAGCGGAAAATGACAGTCTTCGATTGGCGTTCCGTTCCTCCACACCCCAACCGTGCCAGCCTAGCCCTTGGGGGCTTGTTCTTGGGGCGGGAATGATGGCCACATGGCGGTGCCGTTTGATCCGAGTGTTTGCGGCGGGCGGGGCGGACGGGCTATGGAGTACACGGGACTCCACTACCGCCCGGAGCGTTGGAGTGTACGGAGTGGAAGTGATGCTGAGTTGGACCCACTCTGGATGCCGCGGGCGCCGGGTTCCCGTGGAGGAAGTGCGGTGTTTTGATTACCCCGCCGCGACTCCCTCATCTGATCCTCTACCCGCCTCTCTACGGCTCGGGGGATTATTTTAGCTTGCGGTCTTTAGCTCCGTTGTTGAGCGTCACCCGGGGGCCGTGATCGGATTCGCCGCCCGTCATATGGCGCCGGCCCTCCCCTTAATTATGTGGCCCTGGCCGGTTTGGTGACATTCGGGGGCTTGGCGAGCGAGACGATGCTGGGCGTTCGAGGACAGATGCCCCGAAAATTGTTGCTGACCGGGGCGAGATGCGATCAACCAGAAACGTGACCCAAGCCTTTGCCTCCCCACGCTCCCCGGACCACAACTAGATGAACTGGGGAGCAGCTTCGATGTGAGATGGGGGACTATCATTGCTGAAAGAAGTCCGTTGCAACGTCGTTATATTTTTCCGCCTTGGCGGTGCATGATGCAGTGCATCATCGAGCTCCCTCCCCTCCTTTTTACCCCCTCGCTGATTCCACCAACAGGTCTTGCGATATTCCTCCATTGAG